GAACTCGCGCAGACTCATGATAGCCTCTATGGTTCCAGCATCCAGCATTCAGGAACCCCATCAGGCCTGGCCCAGTGGGCACAGGCAGACTAGAAGCCTGGCAGAAGGAGAAGTGGGACCCCAATGATGCTGATGATGCTGGCGAAGGGGTCCAGCATCATCAGCATCCTTGGGGGTCCGTCTCTCCAATTTTGGCACCCAATGACCCGTGATGGAGTCTACACTTTTCCCAGCCCTACCCCAAGGGGGCCCTTGGGGTCAGTTTTCAAAACGGTCCTCATGATGCAGATTTTGGTGGTTTTGCGGGACCCGAGAAATGATTCAAATATCCTGCCGTTGGGAGTTGCTTTTGGAGCCCATGGTGAATGTTGGAGTGGTTTTGGAGTGGGGTTCGCAAGGGACCGTTGGAGAAACGGGCGGCAGTGGCGCCACCCCCTGTAGAGCTGGCAGGGCCCGGCTTTAAGGGTTGACGCCCCTGCCTCCAACCCTTAGGAAAAGGGGCCAGCAAGCCGTTTGGCACCCAGCCCTTTGAAATCTAGTCAAATTTGGGCGTCGATCTAAAACCAATCCTCTATGGTTTCCTCTTGGCCAGGTTTTTGAAAAATAAATCATCTCAAAACCTTGCAAAACCCTGGCGGGCGGAAGGTGGCGGAAGCCCGGGCAAAAGCTGGCTGGTACTCTACCAAATGCAAGGTGCCAAGGTCCTATGATATGAGACACCGCAAGCTTGTCAAACAGGATTCCAAACGTTTATCGAAAGGCATGGGAGCTCCAGAAACTCAAACATGTCCAGCATCCCAAAGCCAGGTCTTCTAATCCATCGCCCAGCGCCCTCAACACAAGGCCAAATGCATTATTCCAGGCCCCAAAAACGCATTTGCAAATCCTTTATCCCTCCCCCAAAGCCATCAAATTAAGAGGGCCCACAAAGCAACATGTTTTTTTTTCAGCCCTCCAAAATGCATTTTGCAGATCCTTTATCCATCTCCCCAGGCATTAAGGGGCCCACGAAGCAAAATGCATTTTCTGTGCCTCAAAAATGCATTTTGCCGTTCTTTTGTCCATCCCCCAAGGCCATCAAATTAAGGGGCCCCATATAGCCAAATGCATTTTTCCAGTCCCCTAGAGCACATTCTGCAGATCCTTTATCAATCCCCGGATGCCATCAGACTAAGGGGCCCGCAAAGCAAAATGCGTTTTCCTGACCTCCAAAAATGCATTTTGCCGGTCCTTTATCCATCCCCCAAGGCCATCAAATTAAGGGGCCTCACAAAGCCAACTGCATTTTCCAGTCCTCAAAAATGCATTTTGTAGTTTCTGTATCAATTCCCCCAAGGCCGTCAAATTCAGGGGCCCCACAAAGCAACATGCATTTGCCCAGGCCCCAAAAATGTATTTTGCAGGTCCTTTATCCATCCCCTTAAGCTCTCAAATTGAAGGTGCTCCACAAAGCAACATGCATTTTTCCAGGCCACAAAAATGCATTTTGCCATTCTTTTGTCCATCCCGCAAGGCCATCAAGTCAAGGGGGCCCAAAAAGCCGAATGCATTTTCCCAGCACCCCAAAAACGCATGTTGCAGATCCTTTATCCATCCTCCAAGGCCTTCGTATACAAAGCCAAAAGCTTTTTCCAGCCACAAAAAAAAGGAGTTTGAACTTCAGGCTAAGGTGCCTCACAAAGCAACATGCACTTTCCGGGCCTCAAAAATGCATTTTTTAGTTCGTTTGTCCATCCCCCAAGGCCATCAAATGGAGGGGCTTCATATTTTCCAGTCACCAAATTCGCACTTTGCAGGTCCTGGCTCTCAAATTCAGGGGCCCCACAAAGCAACATGCATTTTTTCCAGGCCCCATAAATGCATTTTGCAGGTCCTTTATCTACCCGCCAAGGCTTTCAAATTAAAAGGGCCTTACAAAGCAACATGCATTTTTCCTAGTTCGTTTGTCCATTTCCCGCATGCGCAGCTTGAGGGAGCGGACTTCAGCCTCTAAAGTATCCACTCTCAAATTGAAGGATCCCTGCGGCTAGTGCCCCGAAAGCTGCTCCCATGAGCGTGGGAGGGGGGGGGGGATGGGGGAGGGGGCTTCTTCCATGGAGGGAAGTGGAAGAGGGGTGGTGGTGTCATGGGAGGGTTACAAGTGCGGAAACGAGGGTAGTGCGGAGGTAAGGGGAACTGGGGTGACGGCTAGGGTGCTTATAGAGCTTACTGTAGTCAAAGCACTTGCTGGGCGCCGCCCCAGGGTCGGCGGACATGAAGGGTTTTTCGCGACTGGAAAGCATTCGGGCCCCCACCCCCCATGGAGGCACGATTCTGAGGGCTTGCTCTCACAATCCTTTGTTATCCTGACATCCATGAAAGGCCGCATAATGTCGAGCATTAATGACACCGTCCCCATTCTAAAAGCACCAAAAACACAGCTTGGACAAATGGCGGGAATCTGACAAGGATACCTGGAAACCGGAAAGTTCAAGCAGGAGAAAGGCAAAGAGGCAGGGATGCTTGCCGTGAGATGCTTGGGCATGTGGATGCGGCCCGCATTTTCGCCCTTCAGCCTGGTGACTTTGGCGACCCTTTGGGCTTGGTGGAGAAGAACATCGGACAGTCGCTGCACTGCAACCTGTTTAGTTAGATTTGCTGGTCAATTGCATTGCTCACCTTTGAGGCCGAGCAATTGGATTGCTTACCTAATGGGTCGTAGACGTGGTAGTCTTCATTACTGTTAGTTCACTTGCTGCCCGGCACAATCCTGGCTTGCAAGGGCATAGGGCTTACAAAAAGGAGATTCAGGCTGTAAATTGTCATCGCTTCTGACGCATCACCGCCCAGCGCGGTAAGGTTCGATGACGAATGGCGCAATCGTGAAATCAACAACGGGAGGCAAGGGCTTTGTCCACCAGTCACCAGCTGAGCCTGTGAATGGGCACCATGGTGTTAGTGCCGTCTCAACCGAAACCTGCCAAGACCGGGAGGTTTGCCATGTTTGCAGCCATTGGGATTATTGCCGCGGAGAATGAAACAGGCGCTGCGGCCATGAAGCCGGCTACAGCTTGCCCATGAGCGTGTCTGCACATGTTTCAGCACATGCTGTCAGGTTTGGATGCAGTGGAGCAAATCTTTGGGCTTTAACGTTATGACGCAGGAAGATTTTTTCAAAAACCCAAGACTTGGCTGAGCACCACAATTATCAAAAGGATTCGCCTAGCCGCAGCCAACTCTGCCAGGATGGGTTCTGCAGAGTGTCACTTATGTAACGGATTTGCAAAGCCATAGCAATCGCAATTGGTTTCACACACTTTTGACCCTGGCCCCAAGCGGAAAAGGCCGACACCCTGCAAGCACATGTGAGCCTTCCAAGGTGACTTCTGTGTATGAGGCACGTATTTTGGTAAAGTGCAGCTTGGCTTGCAGCTGAGGCGAGCCACTTAGACTTCACTTGCAACATGGCAAAACCATGGCACTGACAAAGCCGAGAACGAAGTTGCCCCTCATGATCGCTCTTTTAGCATCAGCATCTGCGCCAGGAACTGCTTCTCACAAGTCTTCAACTTGATTACCGATATTACCGCCGTTAATTAGGAAAAGCATACGACCACGCAAAGCCATATTGCATGTCTCTCCAACTGACACAATGTGATCCAATTGGTTAGACATTCGCCCACAGCCCGATAATGAAGCCGATGACCCAATTTGATTTTTGCACATTCGTCCCACAGCCCGATAATGAAAGCCGGGACCTATCATATGGCCTAATGCAGCAGCATCCTATATGTACATGCTGCTCAAAGCCGGACAGCTGCAGGCGGTCGTTTCATTTAGATGAAGTCGGTTGGCTTTCAACGAAATTCAATTCAATTGGATAGAAGCTTCTGTCAGCCTTTCCTGGTGTTCGAGTCATGCACAGCATGTCATGTGGTAACCCGCGCTGATATCCGTAGATTTGGTGTGTTGCTTGTAATCTTGCACAGCAGGGTGGTGGTATTCGCAGCGCTTTACGCTAGGTGCTTGCAGCTTCTTGCGCCGTGCCTCCAGCTCAGCGCAATCACAAGCAGACACTTATCTGATTCTCTGCAACCCGACCCTTCAACATTGCTGCCAGCAAGCCAGCGGAGTGCAGCCAACGTCAAGAGACAGCTGGCTGCGTTGTTCCACCCAAATTTGCAGATTGCGGAGAAGGAGGGGAGCCTAGCCCCAAACCAGCATCCACCCCCCTTTATCCCCTACTTCTGAGAAGCCAACTTGCCCCCGTCCCGCTTCTCGCCAATCCCCATGTGGACCAAGAAACCCAAAGCCCAAACTCTTGCCCCACAAGCTTCAAAGCCTGGCCAGCTGCCTATGCTTTGCTGGTAGGCATGGCGACTCGGCACGGTTGGAAGACACCCCTGCGTACCATAGGCCGTGTGCAAGCATGATGCATACGAGAGCCTTGCCACAACACAGCAGGTGTTGGTGCAGGACTATCTCATCAGGTGGCTTGATGCTGTCTGCTCAAGTGATCTTGGATGGTTATCCATGCTTATACTACACCACCCACTATCAGGGCAGAAAGAGCTGGTGATCTCAAAATGGACTATGGCTGGTGTGGGGCTCAGATTGGCTTGTGTGATTGGTGATGGCCTTCGGGTGTAGAAGAATCAGTAGCAACGGAAAATGCAGGGCTATTCTGGGGGATATTACGCTGGGAGCATCATCTAATAGGTTGTAGTTCGGGCTTAGTTGACATGACTGCACACATCTGCACACTAAGCTCCGAATGAGCCCTCGGCATCCAGACATAACCCTCCCCACAGAGACCTGGCCTCCACAGTTGCCTCCCCACGAAACCCCAGGCCATGAAAAGGCACCGGAGACCCAAAGGACCAAATCCTGATGGCACTGATGGCACATCTCGATTTGTGCCGTCACTTGAGCCATGTAATGCTGGGTCATCCTTGCGTCTGAGGCCATGTAATCCCACGTACAAACACAGCTTGATTTGGCTCGGGGCATCTTTGCTCCAGATGGCTGGCATCAGGTGTGGACTGGCAGGATTCTTCGCAGTGCTGCTTGTGGTCCGCTGCATAGCTTCAACTTTGTGTCATGCCTTTATTCTGCCTCCAACCATAGCTCACGGAGAGCGCTCTTACACAATTCACAGATGGGTGAAGACTGGAAGCGCACCTGCTCATTGATACCCGAGATCGGTGCTACACTTGGCTTCATCCAAATCTTCGGTCTTTGGACATGGGAGGCTTGGAGGACACCACCTCAGCATTCTCCTTCTGCGGCGCGTTACTTGAAAGAATCCTGCTGCTGCATGTAACTTGCAAAGCTGAGGGAGCTCTACGCATCGGAGGTGTTGCTATGGTTTGTTTTCCTGGTCCTGTCACTCTTCGTGGCCAAAGTCCTTGCCACAGCCGTGCGCTCAAATTGAGAGAGCCCTCGAAACAAAGCTCAACCTGTTTGCCGAATAAGGTGATACATGATAATCTTGCACCAGTTGGGCATGTGCTTGAGCAAGTTCCTCGCAAGGTAGTCCATGTGACAATCACATTCTGCAAAATCTGGGAGTATCGGAGTCTGATCCATACTGCTGTCCACGACCAGGACCGGACTGCTGCAAGCATGTTCAGTCACTTGTACATGCAGCAGTGCATACTGTATCAGAGAAAAATGAGGCCAGTGTAGGAAGGACTGACGCCTTCAGTGGTCAGTAGCTAGCTGGCTTTGGTGTTATCGACACTGTTAGTCCAAGCCCGCTTGATTGATACTATCCCCGATGTGCATGTTAGGATAGTCAGACGGAGCTTCGGCAAGAGCATGATCCTCTGGAGTTTTTGGAGCCAGCTTACAAAAAGTCCTTGCAATGCATATTTTGGGCTGCCTGGGAGCGAAAAGCACCTCGAGTCAGGAAACACAGAAGCGAGTCGGGAGCCCACGCGCCAGGAATCCTGAAAGGCGAGTCGGGAACCCGTGAGCGGCGAGTTGGGGACCCGCGAGGGGCAAGTTGGGAACCGTCGAGGTACGAGAACTGTAGTGTCGGTCGTGTTGGTTGTGTTGGTCGTCCCGGTCCGGATTGGTTTGCTGATCAGCTGACCAGCCGATCGGCTCATCGGCTGATCGGCTGACCGGGTGACTGTCTGATCGGCTGCCTAATCAGCTGGGCGCGTCCCAGTAGTCCAAGCTTGCCCCGGTATATGGTCCAGGGATGGTTCCCACCAGTCCAAGCTTCACCCCATTGGTCCAAGGAGCGCTCCCATTAGTCCAAGTTTCTTATGATTCAATTTCATAGGCGCCCCTTAGTCCCAGGCTGGAATCAATCGGTTTTGTTGGTCGCATAGGTCTTGTGAATCGTGTTGTTTTTGTTCGTCGTGATTGGCTGATCCCGACTCGCCAGGATTTCCAACTCGCACCTCAGGACCCCGACTCGAGTCCCACAGGTGCCCGATTCGCCCATTCAGGTTCCCAGCAAGATTCCCACCTCGACCCTCACCCGCCTAGGAGCCTCATGGATCGCTTGATTCGAGATAATTTGAGTGAGAAAAAGGAGATCCAGAGCTCAATCATTCTTGGCGCAAGACCCCACCAGCGATGAAGCAACCTGAAGCGCCTCCAGCTAATGCTGGTGAGCTCACAAAGTCGGCGTGTTCAGTGAGCAGACCCTCGCGCCCCCGCCTCGGCGTACGCTCTATTTTGAACGAATTTTGTGTATATTGTGACTTTCAAAGGGTTATCCCGGAGTAGCACGACCCTTTTTGCACAAGGTCCTGGTTCGCGTAACCGATCGGGTACAAGTAGGTTGATCCTGCTCATGGCGGGTAGATCTTTCTTTTGAACATGGGAGTTGCTACCAGAGAGTAGTGTAGGTGGTCCGCGGATTTGGAGTGAGAAGGGTGGAGCCTGCTCCCAATCCTTGAAGGTGTTGCTTGGGTCGGGTACCCGCCCAAACTTTTAGGGGTGGCGGGAAAGGGCACAGTTCCTCTTACTTGTAGTCCTCCAATGATGGAGCACAGGCAATCTCACTGCGCTATTCAGAACTATCCATAACTTATGATGTGCAAGAGGGCCCATAGGGCCCCAGTGATGAACTCCAAGCCTTGGGTCCCTCCCTTAAATGGTGGCGGCAACATGTTGCGCAGGTCGAAGCTGAAACGGGTACCGAATTTCGATGATGCCCTTACACACTTGCAGGTTGGCATCATCAGAACACTTCGGCGTTCGTTTTGCCGTTGTATCTATGAAGGCAGCGTCAAAACTGAGAATCGTCAACACATTCGAGGCTCCGCAGCCCTTCCAATTTCTTGATGATGTTGGTTCCAGCTTCTGTGCGACAGGGTCTAGAGAACGCGTTGACATGGTAAAATCAGTTTATGCTATCTTCGACATTCACAATCTCGTGTGAGCCGCACTCTTTTTCGGTTTGCTACTTGTAGCTACAGTATTTGGCTACGTAAAATTTGGGGGTGGCCACCGACATGTCAGCAGGACCGAGGAAGAGGATGGCTTCGCGGAAGGCTCGCGGAAACTCCGAAAGCACAGTGCCGAGTACAGTTTTCTATAAAGCAACACGAGGAATCCAGGAATTCCAGGCAGCGGATAAGTTCTGTGGTTGGAGACATGATGACATGATGACCGCCCCCCCGAAGTGGAGGGAAACTTCGCTGAAGGTTTGCGGAATGCTCGCGGAAGGCACACGAAAGGCTCAAGGCCCTTTACAAGTCATGCTGTCATGTCACATGCGCTACAGACTCAAGCAACAGTCGATGATGAGCGTAACCATTCCCGAAAAAGAACCCCAGGAAATTGTGACTTCTGTTGCTCCCTCGTAGAGCGAGTCCAACAGGAGAACCTACTCTGCGGGCGTAGAATTGCTCGCGGAAGGGCTCGCAAAAGTCGGGTTATGCAACATCTCAAGATTGCAGGACGCTCTCGGCCGCGGAAGGGTTCGCGGAAAGGTGTTTTGCGTCATCAGGAATTCGAGAGGAATAAAGAATGCAGCTCGTGTAGCACGTGCTCTAGCTCCATCAGCGAAAATTTTGTGCTCTTCATGTTGGGGAGAATTTTTTCTTGCGTGCCCGGGCCGATCTTCTTTGTTTGGGCACATGAACTCAGACTCCAAGCAGGTTTTGCAGCTTCCAGAAGCATTCTCATTCTTGGGTTGTCTACCAAGATTGCAAGTGCAGCGCCAACAAGAATACATCAAGAGCAAGTGGAGAAGTCGAAGTCAAGTACTATACAGACCGCCATGTGTTGATGGAAGGGCAAGTATTCCTACTTTGCACGTGTACGCATACCTAAGCTCGCACTGCATTGGTGAGGACCGAACTTGCCCTGGCAAAGCCTGGGCCTGTGGTGTGGTCAGCTGGTGCGATGTGTTGGGTGGTACTTGCAAGTGTGAGGTGCGGAAGGTGCTGATTTGCCACGCATCGGTTGGTTCTGGCCATTCCAGGGCCGCACAGGCCTTGTGCATCATATCGCCACATTCGTTTGCTTGCTTTACACGGACTTTATGAAGCATGTCAGCATGCGGCAAACCTTTTGGGATGGTAGCGACAGCAACAGATGTCATCCAGCAACAGCTTTGTAGCCTTTAAGACCTTTGAGCCATGCTAGATGTCAGCGGTAAGTTCTGGAGATCACGCATGGAGACCCACGCGATGCTTTCTGGCTTCTGACACCGTTAGCGTAAACCAGGGCTCCCTATACGTGTCGCTTTTAATTTGTTCAAACATCACTTTTTTTGTTTTAGGTAAAAGGGGCTCGCAATACCCCCCAATATGGCTTTTCATTTATGTTGTTTTCAGCTGAGAACGCTGAGAATGTTACCCCTATCATCGAAGGCGCTGCTTGTAGAAAGTGACATCTTCGGAGCTAGCTGCTAGCTAGCTTTTTCAGAAGGCCTGGAATGGCCTGGATTCTTTGGGTATCTTTGGGCCTGTGTTGCTCTAGATTGGCCATCGAGGGACATGCACGTGATGTTGGTCAGAATGCTTTGAGGGGGAGCCCGAACCTATGGGATTTCATCGCCTTTTGGTACGTGCAGTTTTGTGAGGCTTTGGCTTCTGCGTTGCACCGATTGGATGACTCGGTTGAAGTACGGGTCGTGGATCTGATGGAGCCGCCTTATGCTGTGAAAGCCTTGGAAGCATCAAGCATCGAATCTATGACATGACGATGCTTGAGCAAGCCTGCAGTGGCATGCACAGGATCGCACACTGATCTACTTCTACAAAGACTGGCCTGCTTGCCAAGAGTTTCCATTTTGCGAGATATGAGTTCTCTTTGAGCTAAGTCTGTAATGTCAAACAGTGGGATCTGTGGCAGGTACTTGCGACTGGTTGGAGGTGAGACCGTTTGTGGAAATCTTGGAGGGCTTTTTGTCGGCTTCCTCTTCGACCGTGCAAACAATGTCCACGATTCCTTCACCGGCGGCAGTGCGCTGCAACGTCGCATTACACAAAGCTTCCTGCTCAACTTCATGCAGCTCCTGCTGGGACCTTGCAAGTCCTTATAGCTGAAACGCGCTGGGCTGAAGCGTAAACTCGAGGTGTGAGACAAAGCCAGACGTCGTGGTGCCCCTGGCATTTGTGTAGCGGGCCAAAGGGGCAGGAGCAGTTTGCAGGATTGACAGAGAGCCTCCAGAATCTTCTAAGATAAGTTTAAGGACAGGATGAGGAAAGGGTTGTGCTGGAGGCCAGTAGCTAAAGAAATAGCAGGAGCAGCCTTCGAAGAGGTCTTCGAGGGCCGGCAGGGTCATTTCTGAGCCGCTGCGGTCACTTTGCACTCTGCTGCCCCTTGCATCGTTTTCATCAATAGGCACGGCGGCTGGTTTCTACAATTACGGACCTACTGCAGCCAGATTTTTCAGCGCGCACGTCACTCACGTCCACCCTCTGGAAGCCAATGAATTCCGTTTTTGGTTTGCCAGTATGGCAGGTGCACACGCACTTCTTGGCTCCGGAGCTTGTGGCTTCTCTTCGACGAAGGCTCCTAGCCCATTGTAAGTAAGAGCCAAACTGCTAGAAAGGTGCAATGCTGTGACTTCTTCCTGTACCCTTTGTCTATAATCGCTAAGTAAGGCGTCTCAGTTCTGCAAGGCATGGGCTAAAAATCCCGCAGGTGACTGTGGCCCGGCGCTCCAGGTGTCAGTATGCCAGATCCAATGAACATGCGGGACCAGCCGTTAGCTGAGGTCACCGACATGGACGTGCATGCTTGGTGGTATCAGCAGTCCGCAACTCAGAGTGCAACTTACTGTAAGGCAACCAAACCGTCACCAACAGCTACCTAGGCCGACGGACCACTACTTCGTGCCAAGAGAAAACGTCGGCCTGGCATTGGGTTTACGTACCTTTGCATTTTCGCTGGCAAGTTTGTTGAGTGGAAGTTTCGTGCGGTTCCAGGCCAAGTTTCAACTTGAAGCTGATGGAGTTCCAGGAGAAGATATCACCATAAGTGGGATACCGCACTCCCGGCACGTACATCCTGATTAGTTGCAGGCAGTGGCTTTCACAGACCATTAGACGGACTCATGCAGGTCTTCGCTACTGCAAGCAGAAAGACTCTCCAACGATACCTAAGACCTGGTAGCTGTGCATCTTACTAGGTAGCGCACCAACGGGAAATACGGGAAGCACTTGACATTTGAAATTAAGGCAAAGCAAATTCCAATGTTGCAGCCGGAATCCACAGGGGCAGTGCTCGAATCAATTACACAACCCACTTGCCAAAACAGGCTCAAGCTGTTGGTGGAAAGGCTTTTCTGGAGCAAAGCTTCCAATTCTAGCTTGCCCGCAAATACCGAGCTCCCAAAGTCATGACCGCTGTCAGTAGTGGCATTTGCGCAGCCAGCACAGGATCTGCCAACTGCCAGTGACTGACGCAGCCGGCAAGAGACGAACGCAAAACGCCCACAATGAAGCTTGCGGGACGACAATTGAGCAGCGTTTTTTTTTTTTAAACGCTTAATCAATTATGAATTCGT